GTTAACATAAACTCCTGGAACGTTAGGGTCAAGTCTTCTTATTTTCTCAATAGTTGCATACTGGTCTGTTTGTTCTCTAGCTTGTGGTTGTACTGAGTTTCTCAAAGCGAACCATTCATAGTTTGCCCATGTTACTGTTTGAACTAAGTCAGAGTTAGAATATATCTTATATCCCATGAAAACTTCTGGAGCATATTGGTATCCGACATAGAAAATTCCATTGCAACCTTTCTTGTCAGACAACTTGGCAGAAGGTTTTATTTCAATGTCTTGTTCCACGTATAAGAATGAGTTGTCAATAGAAAATAATGAAACCTGTCGCAAGCAATATCTACTGTTGTTGAAGAACCTTCACCAAACTCACCTACGTTTCCATAAGAAACAGCAGTTGTATATTCGTAAGTTCCAGGAACTATTTCTGACCTTCTAATGGCATTGTCGCATTCGTTATACCATTCGGAAACATTTCCATTCATGGCATCCAAAACTGTTGGCGTTATATTCTGAGCGGCGTACATTTCATATGGGTAAAAATATAGAATAGTTGGATTTATGTGTCATAATAGAACCCACGTGGACCAAGCTTTACTTTCTTCCTGACTGAGTTTTTAACTCTTCTTTTTCCTTCATTGCCACTACTTTCACTTTGTTCTTCACTACTTTCACTTTGTTCTACTCTTCTCTTCTTCTTTGGTGTCGCTTTTGGTAACTTGCCCTCTGCTTTAAGTTGTTGCATCTTTGCCTCATGTTCACCTAGTATGTTGTAAATTTCCCATGTCCTTTTTGCCTTTGGGCTCTGGTCGCCCATCTCAGGTAACCTATATCCTAGAAAGATTTTGTCATAGTTTGTATTTGAGTCTTCGCGTATTGTTTGCATGACTCTTTCCTGAGTTTCCGGTTCAAGCTCTTCAAACAGAGCTTGTCCATATGGAATAAGCTCGTTTCCAAATATATGTTTTTGTAGCCATTCTGGTTTTCTTTCCATGTTACCAATTATATCTTTTGTGAATGGGAAAGCTTTTACCCAATGTTTCAGTCTTGCGTCATTTATTTCTGTAGTTGGTTTTATTTTGTCAAGGAACATGTTTTTCAATACTAACATTTCATTTGGTACTGTCCATTTGAGTTTTCTTAAATATTCATCCCTTCTCATTTCATTGTCTGCAAAGTAAGTTTTTATGACATTTTGCAAACTTTCGTTTGCAAGGTCATGTACAATAGGTTCTCTTCCTTCTCTCTCCCTAACTCTCTTTCTAAACTCTTCACCAAATATACCATCTTTATGGTTCTGTGTAGTTCTTTGAGATAAATGTTCTAGAACGTCAGGTGTTATATTTCCATCAGCCATGTTCATTTCATACTGGTCCAAAATATCTGCATGTTTCATATCTTTCAATGGCATTAAAGCCGCGCTGAAAATACCAGCTAAATCTGGTTCACCATTGACTTCCATTGCGTCTACAACTTCTTGGAATTGTGGTTGTAAGTTTATGAACCACCTATCCGGGTTAGCTTTATGACCCCATCTCATTGTAGTTCCATAGTCTGCAGAAACAAAAGTAGGTTTGTTTCCATATTGGTTAGGTTCTGAATGAACTTTAAACAATGTTTCATTTCTATATGTTTTGTTGAAATTTAACCTTTTATTTTCACCGAGTTCAGCCAAAGATTGAACGTTATATGGTCGTAAGTAAAAAGGGTTGTTGTATTTGTGTACATTTTCTTTCAGTACTTCCATTCTATGCTGAATATTTTCATCTGGTGTTGGAGTCTTTTGTATGTCGGCAAACATTTTTCGATATTCTTCTACCATGTCAGCCGAATTTTTTTTAGACTCTTGGAAAGATTCCATATTCACCTCATACTCTTGTTGAGGGTCAAGATTTTTCGGCTGTTCCAAATCTTCATCTAGTTCTGTGAAGTTAGTTTCCAAAGGAGGGACTTGTTCGTTTCCTTCAGGCTCTTCTAGCTGTTGTTGCTGAACTATTTCTTCCATGTCTGGTTGTATCTGAACTTCTTCCTGTTGAGTTTCTTGTACCTCATCTGCTGGCATTTCATATATTCCGAGACCGTTTTTAACAAGTTCCCTATCTAAGTCATCCGGACTCATAAACCTTTCTTCTTTCGTTCCGTCTCTATTTTTTACGCGTTTCATGAAGAGAGTTGAATTGTCATTTAGCTCTGACACCAAATATCTCGGAGTAAATTCGTTCATGTCATTTGGATGATATGCTATTAAATCATATCCCTTAGCGAGCTTGTATTTTCCAGGTTTGAAATTATATCCCATTTGGTGCTGAACCATAAAGCTAAATAGGTTCGGGTCAGTATTTCCTTCCTTGAACTTTCTAATAGCTTCTTTATATCTGTCACTAAAGTCAAGAGTATCTGGGTAACCATAGTCTTCTTTAAGCATTTTTAAGAAATCTTGGTTTCCTTGTTCTCTACTTCTTTTATGTCCTTGCTCTGTTTGTGGTTGTTGTGGTGCAGTGTTTTGAACTGTTGGTTGTGGTGCTGGTTGTGGAGGTGGTTGTTGTGCTGGTTGTTGTTGTGGTGCTGGATTTTGAACTGTTGGTTGTTGTGTTGGTTTTGGTGCATGCCTGTGTCTGTGTCCATGTGACGATGTAAATGTTTTAGGTAGTCCTGGTGCAGGTGCTTCTCTTGGAGGGTTTGGTGGTATATAAGTTCCACTAGCTAGTATATAAGTTCCACCAGCTGGTATATAAGTTCCACCAGCTGGTATATAAGTTCCACCAGCTGGCACATATGTTCCATCTGCAGCATAGTGTCCTACCTGACTTTTCGTTTTTAAGAAAGCATTTACTAGGTCTGTTTTGGTCTGTTGTAACTCTTTTTCTTGACTTTCCACAACAGTTGCTCTAACGGCGTCATAGGCACTTTGAACTGCCTGTCTCGTTGCTGCATCTGTTATTTTCGTTATATTTTGTGCTACTTCTTTTAACTCTTTGTCGAAACCTTCAGACTTCAGTTTCTTTCCAGATGAGAAGTCGTTCACTTGTTTCACCTTACTATGAAGAGCTTCGAAGGCGTTCTTAAAGTCAGCATTTGTTAAAGCTTCATTTGAACTGTCTTCATCCGCTTGTATTTTTGTCCTTATTGACCCTATAAGCTGGGCTGCTTTAGCGTTGGCTTGGGCATCTAACCAGTCATTGTTAGCTTTTATATATTCTGCGCTTTTCATTGCCTTTTGCATGGCTGCGTCGTTATTTTTACTTTCTTGTGCTAAGTTTTCATACTGTACGGTTTGGTTTTGCAACTGTAAAAGTTTTTCTGCCTTTACATTTGCTTCAACTTCTTTTTTATATTCATCGCTATCCATATATGTCTTCAGGGCTTTTTGTTTTATCTCTTCATCTTTCAGTACTTTATATTGAGTAGTATGGTTTTTCAAATTTACAACATCTTGTTCCATTTTTGCTACTTCTGCTGCTTTTTCTGACACTTTTTTCGCATATTCCTCTGTACTTAGTTCTTTCAGTTGTTCTTCTTTCTTCTTTTTCTCTACGTTTAACTCATTGAGTTTCTTTGTGTGTCTGTCATATTCTAGTTTCTTTTCGTTTTCACTTATTTGCTTCTGTATGTCTATGTTTGACTTTTTGACATCTGTTATTTGATTTTTGAGTGAACTCAAATTCATTTGACTTTGAGGGTTATAAGCTGTTCCGTCTGCAGCTCCACCATAGCCTGCCATTTTCGCTAAAAGTGCCGCTCTTAAACCTCCACTCTGTGCACCAAGAACTCGGTTTAAGAGCATAGGGTTGCTTGACATTTGTTGCAACATAGTGGGGTCATTCAGCATTTGTTGTTGCAACTGTTGTTGTGGTGTCAGTTTTACTATTGGATGTTTCAATGCTCTCTTCCTCTTACGTATATTCTTACGTAGCTTACGTGGCATTTTAAGTGAAGTTAAAAAGCGGTTTTCGACAGATGTTTATATGACACTATTTGTTCAGCTCAAAAAACTACTCGGTCAAAGTGTTGTCAGTTTTGTAAAATAACCGTCCTATCTCATTCTATAAGGGGGAAAGTCTTCTCAAAGTATACTTCCTTGGAACGCCCGTAACTTTTCCTGTAGCGACGATAGACCCTTACTTGTCCGGACAAAGTTATACTATTTTGAGTGCTCTACAAAAAAAGTCAACGGCGACGACTCTCAAAAATTTTTTATGGGCTAGAGGGCACGAAGTGCCTGGAGGCCCATCCCAAGAAAAAAAAACTTCAGGGCTAGAGGGCGCAACGCGCCTGGAGGCCCCACTACCTTTTTTTTTTTTTTTTTTTTTTTTTCAAATTACTATATATACATATGTGGATAAAATAATAGTAATATTGTAAAAAATTAGATAATTTTTTTATTTGAGAACCTCTCAAAAGTTCATTCAATTTATCAATTGTTTCAGTTTGATGTATATTCATTTCTGGAGCCTAAAACTTTAGCAATCATGACAATATCATATTCTCTTTCTAACTACGCAATGTAAGGGTATCCTTAAGGATGTATTTACAAGCTTACCAACTCAACGCATAATATCTTACAATGATCTATATAATCTACAGCCTTGAAACCAAGTCGAAATTATTAACAGTTTTAGAGTGGGGGTACCTTTAATTTTTCTTTCTTTTCTACTTATATTTTTAATGTGTTGTTGTAACACTTAATAATTTGATATATGTGCGGCTGATTAAATAAATTTTAATAAAATATCAACGATAATTTTTTAATTTTTGAGAATTATATCAATAGAATAGTATGCCACTTGCATAAATTTTAAAGAATTGTCTATAATTAGATCACTATACCTAATTAAATCAGGAAATCGAATTCAATATCACCTTTAACCAATATGGTAAGATATACTTCATCCTGTAGTTATCGAAAGTTAAATATAATACTATTGGAATGCACCCTTAAGCTAAATAACATTTATTTTTGGTTTTACAAATTAAATAATAAAAATACGAACTGTAAAAAAGAATTCGAATTAAGACATAATCTGGAAAATGCCAGCTTCAACTTCTCTTGATGTAAATTGAAGGTGTTTCATTAAAAGACCGATTTGCATATTATTGAAGATTTTTGTTTCTCTTGCTTCTTCGATAATCTTATCCATGAGGTAAATTTGGCTAGATTTCGATGCTTCGACCATTTTTTCGATGATAGAAACTTCGGCAGGTTCCAAGTTTTTACCAATGAATTCTAAGCACTCATCGTAGCGATAAACGTTAAGTAGTAGAAGTGCGTGTTCAATTTGAATATCTCTGTATTGTCTTTTCATGATTGGCGAAGGAGAAACCCACATTGTTTCATTATCGAAGAAGTGGAGCTGTGCTTTCTGTAGAGCATGGAGTGCAAGATCGTATCTATCAATCTTAGAATAGGCCATGATTGCGTTAAGAACAGATGTAAAGAGTAAAGGAAGGGGAGCTTGGCCTGTAATAATGACATCGATAGCCTCTTCATATGTATTTCCTGATGCATGTGTTAATTCAAAATCGCTTTCGACCTTTCCCATTTCATTTAACATTGTCGCAGCCAAATAAGGTTTATTTGCTGTTTTAAGGAGGTCAATAGCTACTCTATAGCAATGTAAGCCATCAGTAAGAGAATTTGACCATGATTCTGGAAGAGATTTGGAAAATTCAAATCCAAATTGGGCATTTTGAATAAATAATCGAGCAGCAGTAACAGCAGTTTGTAGAGCTCGGGAAGTGTCTTCGACTTTCACATAGCATTGAAGCTCACCAAATTTTGCCAGAGCAGCTAATGCGACGTCAAATGGATTATCAGTCTTTTGGGCATGGTAAAGTTGATCAAAAAACGTAGCTGTTTCATAGATAGTTCTTTTTGTTTTGAAAAATTTAGAAAGTTCTACCATTTTCTCGTCATATTGTTGGAAGAACATTATTAAAAAATGAAATTTGGAAGCAGAATCAAAGCTTAGTAAACCAATTTATTTCTATACTAATGTAAAGAAAAACGAATAGCCCTTTCTTTTATTGAAATGATTCAATTTCTTTATTGGTAAGAATATAATGAATGTTACTGTTCTTGTTTGAGAAGTGTGATTAAATTCCTTCCAATTTGGAAGCAATAAATGTAAATCTCTAATAAGATTAGATATATCTTTAACTAAAAGGGAGTATGGTGTGAATAGGTTTAAAATGCAGGTTTTAACATATTTTAGTCGATTCTCATTAATCCGGATATCAAATTCAAAAAAATCATCGAAATATCGAAAAATTCAAGCGGAAAGTATCTTGCCTATGCATTTATTTCAATTTCGAAGACTCGAACTTTTCCAAATTTTTTTCGAAATCACAAAATCGATATGAATTCTCCTATATTTTTGATTTGTTTTTTATAAAACATAATTTCTTTAGAATTTTTCATAATTCAAATGCAAATTTTAGAAGATGTTCATGTTTAAATCAAAATCTAAATAATGGAAACATAAATATAATATGAATTAATTTAAAATCCATTTATAAAACATAAAGATCGGGATTAATATATATTTATTGATATCAATAATGAAATATTTTCATAATCAAAGGATCAAGAAGTATGCAATTTTGCAACTTATAATAATGAAGTTAGAAGTTTTATTTGAGAAAACAAACAAATATTTATATTTATTAAATATAAGATACATATAATAACAAAAACGAATAGACTTACAGTTCATCAAAGTCATCTGCTCTGTTAACATCTTTTGTGAGAGGAATTACTTCATCTTTCTTTGCGAGCGGCCCAGGTTTTGAAGAAAACAGCAAGAATATAGCGTAAATACCTAATATTATGCCAGCACCAATACCTACGTAAACATACCAGCTATAAAAGGATGAATTTCCAATTATTACGCCTTCTCCGAAATTAACTCCGTCAAAGGATAGGGAAATTTCAAGTCCTTTCTTAGAGTAAGTAGTATTGCATAATGCATATAGATGTCCGTAACTTATTGCAGGTGATATTTGTGTTCCAATTTTACAATAAACTTTCGTAATATTGAATCTGGAACTAACGCCTGTATAAGAAACATTGATGAATTCGGTAGAATTTTCAGGAAATTGTCCAATCATGTAGCTGAAACTATATGGAGTTGGAATATTACAAGCATTAGTACCATCTCCTTCATATCCAGGAGGACATTGACATATTCCAGGCCAAACACATTTTGCTAAGCTATGGCATTTTCCACATTTTACTTTGCTAACATTGTAGTTAGCAAATTCTGTAATTTCATGATCATTTATCATCTTTGTGACGGTATGATTATTAATGACAGTAAATTTATTCTCGAATTTCTTAAAGGCAGCTGATGAAATGTTTGATTTTCCTATTGGAACTTTTAATTCAAGAAGATTCTTTTTGTCGGCAATTTGTTGGTTCTCACTAAGCTTGTTTGTCTTTGTTTCAATGATGGCTAGTATAAAAATCATGTATGAAATTCAATTTGTCAAAATGAAAATTAATTTATTTTTATTTCCGTTTTCCATTGAAATATTGAATTACTTTCTTTCAATTCACGGATTATAAAAAAACAGAGATTTCAATCCTAAATATATGGCGAGGCGCACTCTCTTAGATGATATTAAAACTTTCGGGTATGCGTTTCGTACTGCTTTTATGATTCCTATAGCGTTCATTTTAATGATTCTTTTGCTAATTTTAGACAATGATCCACCAAGTTTACCATTACCTGACGGTTCTGGCATTGTCGATTGCTCAAACATTAAAGTTACTAAGTTATATGCAGAACTTAACCGCTTAAAAGTCGAATTGCACGTTGATGATTTCATTCAGTACCCAAAACAGCTTGCACTCTCAATGATTAAATTGCGAGCCGATATGGATGGAATCATATTTGATTATCCGATCAAAAACTTCTGGGATATCAAAAGCGATCTTGAAAATATTTCATTTTGTGCACTTCAAACAGTCGCTGGAAAAATAAACACGTCATTACTTTGTGACGGTAGATCGATTAGATCTGAAAATGTTGTTGTTGAATCAATTGATATCTTTCCAGTTGGATGGTCAAGATTAACCTTCCAGCCAAGGACAACAGGCATATTTTACTCAATATTTTTCTTCAATGATACTATTCTCTTCTCGATGCAGCCTCCAGGACGCTTAGATAACCTCAGGATTTCACCAGATTACGTTATGAAAATGGGCAAAGACCACAATGCAGCGGAACAAATTCGTGCTAAGTATGGCGGTCAAATGATACCGAAACATGCAATTTTGGTTGCAGCAGATTCGAATACAACATTTAATTTAATGATTGACGTTTTATATCCATTTACAATTACTTACAAAGACATAAACTATCAAAACGCATACGTTTACCTTCCAAGCCAACGGTTTAATCACACTTATTTGTTCAAAAACGTTCCAGGAGTGACAACATTACGTAACGGCTCATATTTATTCGAAGAATTGAGAATTCCACGTTCATCAGCATCTACATTTACTCAATCCAAAGAAGATAAAAATATTTCGATTGGATATTACGCAGAACAGCTTCAATTCCTAGCAGCCAATCATGTAGATTTCGAAACCATGAGGAAATGGTATACAAACGCCACTAAAAAGCCAAAAACAGTTGTATTAGATAATTATACAGAAATTTTCAAGGATGAAATCGAAAAAGTAGCCAAAATAAAGGTTAAAGTAATCAATGAAAATACATCCTTCAAAGAAATTGTTAAAACTCTTGAATCTGCATCAGTTTTCGTTTGCGGACATATTAAAACAGCAGTTTTTGCTCCATTTATGCCAAAAGGATCAACATTCATTGAAGTACCACCAGATACATCTAGCTGCGCTGTAGGATCAGTTTGGATTGCTAAACAATCTTCATTAAAACATGAATTTATTAAAAACAGTTCACCTTGCAACTGCACTTACTACTATTGCCATCTTTCAGATCAGGCAACATATAATGGCATCAAACTCAACGATGTTGTCTCAAAAGTACAACAAAACATGTAAATTATATTTTTGTTTGTAAAAAAAGTATGAATAAATCGAACTTATATTATAGATTTTTTATACATCGTTGAACTTCAAATGTACATATAGAAATTATATTTTATGATAAATTTCCGAAGACTCTTAGGAAAATTGCTATACCATAGTAAATAATTCAAAAAGATACAGTTAATTTATCTGGTAGTATCTCAAATGAAGAATGATATTTAGAAGATTTTTAAATAATTTCATTTTAGAGAGTATGGACACCAATAACATGTCATCATGGGCCAGGAAATTAAGTTTAAAGGGTGAATCGAACTTAAAATTAGATATAATAGATGGATTTTATGAGATATTTCATGTTTAATTTGAAATGTATGAATGGTATTAAACATATAAAGAAACTATCTTCGTATCGATAAATCTTTTTACTAATAAATATAAAAATCTACAAAAATAAAAAATAAAAAAAATTCAAAATTACTGAGGACCTTGAGGAGTACTGAACTTTGCAATCAGGCTTGCAACTAAGTTTGGCTGTAATACATTCAACTGTTTCTTCGTTGTTGGGTTGTATCTTTGCAAAATCGCAACCATGGCTTGGAAAGGAATATCCTTGTTTCTTTCCATGAATTGTGGGTTTCCAGCGAATGTAGATAACTGAGAAGATAATAAAAGCGACAACAATTTGATTAAACCATTAATTTGAGCTTTTGCGGACGGAGTTGATATCAAAGCTGACCAGTTTCCGATTGCATTAACATTGAGGGATACAACTGAAATAAAATCTGGTGTCCAAGAAATTTTATCCATTGCTACAATCAAATTCGTAAATAGATCGGAAATATGCTTTGCAACGCTTTCAATGGTTGTTTGGAAGATCTTCTGTGGTATATTGTTAATTAATTGACTAGTCATTGTTTCGAAATACATAACTAGCTGCATTGTAGTCGAATGGGGCGGTGGTTCGCTTGCCATTGTCCTAATGTAGTATGCTGATATAAGTTCATCGGAGAAACTGTTGAACAAAGATGCCAATTTTTTGGCTCCTTCTTCTTCAACGGCAAAAATAGTTCTACGGAGCTTCTCCTTATCCTGTTTGATATTCGATGCCATGGAGTGCTGAAGGAATTGCTCAAAGTAAGTTAAAGCTCCATCAAATGCCGACAAAGAAGCAATTAAATTCGCGCATAAAATAATTGTTTGGGCGGTTTGAATACGGGCTTTGATGGCGTTACCGAACGCTCCGACCAAAGCTTCGTATAATTCGACCAAAAGTGAGTCCTGATGGACAAGAGCGAAATCAAGCCACTTGAGAAGCGTACTTTCGATGATTTCACAGACTTTTCCGAGCTCAGGAATGAAGGAAACTGGCGAATCGTTTGCAACCATGTTGTATTGCGCGCATTTTGCAATTGATTCGGAATCAGATGCTTGTATGGAGTCTAAAGAGCTTGCATCGATGCACTGCTTGATCTGAACGGACGACATTCTTTTGAGAGATTGATTAAATTGCTTTCCACGAGTTGTAATGACTTTCTGGAGCTCAGAAGAGTTCATAGAACATATACTCATGCGTTCATCGAAGTGAGAAATTCTCTGAGACAAGAAAATCATATCTTCAACTTTATCGTGCAAAACTTTTTGGCTAAATTCTCTAGTCATGTAGCCAATTGTTTCATTCCACATTCTCTCCATACGGGCTGGCTCGAGTAAGTTGTATCCATCAGCAGATATCTTCCATTCAATGTAGAAGAAGCCTGCAGCGATACTGAAGAGCTGATCGATCGGATCGATATTAGCTCTTGGCTTTCTGCTCTCACGAAGAAGCTTTAATTGCTTCTCACGCTTGTCATTGTAAATTGATAGGAAAACTTCAGCTCTTCCAAGCGCTTTTTCAAGCATATAGTATTCGTAAACAGCTGAAACATCGATAGGTGGTATTTTTTCCTTCTTTAAGAATGCTTCTCCGATGAGTTCACATTGAGAATTGAAATTAACCATCCAGGATGAGAATTTCTTATCAGCGAGGTTTTCAATATGAGCAAGAATAGGATCGACGTCTTTTTGAAGCTGTCTGATTGTTGCACAAGAAGATATCGGGGAGTCATAATTTGCAAATTCAAGAGTTCGAATTGTTGCGATATAGTAATTTCCTGCGCGAATTTCTTCATTAATGTTTTTAAGATGCTGAATTAAAACTTGGAATTCTAAATTTGCTTTTAATTTTTCATCAGTTTCTTGAATTGTTTTTCTGATCTTAACAGCATCTTCTAATGATGACTTATATGATTGCATGGTAGCTTTTATTTCTCCTTCGATAGCCGTAAGTCTTTTTTGGATGTCGGATGAAGATTGACCAAGAGTTTTAGCACCATCTATACTTTTTCCGAAAGTTTCGGAGTACTTTTGGCAAAGTGCAGCAATATCTTGCTTTTTATGATCCTTAAATAAAGTTAATTGCTGTAAAAATTCTTTGTCAGAGTTATTTGCAAAGTGAGCAGCGATAAGAGCATCTGTTGCTTGCTTGTTAGTATTTAATGATGTTTCTAAATCACTGATCTGCTTCTCAGTGAGAATAACTAAGGGATTCATAAATTTATTTTTTGACACGTAAATTTGTAAAATGTCAAAAACTTTACATAATCAAAGAAAAAAAAATTTTTTTGTGCATAGATTTTGGGATTGTATAATTCTGTTTTATTTATTGAACTTTCTCACAGACACCACCAGCGGCCTTGATCTTCTTTTCAGCTTCCTCAGAGAAGTCCTTTGCACGAACAACAAATGGGATCTTTGGAAGCTCACCGCGGGCGAGAACTTTGAAGAAGCCGTTCTGGACGCAGTCGATAACTGGAACTGCATCACCCTTCTTAGCGGTGGCAGCCTTAACACGGACCTCCTCTGGAACAAGTGTCCAAAGCTTGTCAACATTGATTGTTGGTTCGTACTCATCAGCACGGTTCTTCATGAGGTGAAGATGGCGCATGCCAACCTTGCCGAAGTAGCCTGGGTGGAAGCGATCGAACCATGTTCTCTGATGATGCTGACCACCAGCACGGCCGTGGCCACCTGGTGAAACACGGTGCTTACCGACACGGCCGAAACCCATAGAAACCTGACCACGAAGTTTTCTGCTCTTATGGAAACGAGTTGGCATAAGGAAAAAGGATAGCCATAACCGCTCAATTTCCTATCGTCGTCCAGCCAGACCTTATTTCGTTTCTTCAAATTACAATGAAATATTATTGTAATGGATATTGCTGATGAATTAATCCAACCAAAGCGATTTTTCTTATCGGTCCAAAATCTGATTTTTAATTCCTTGATTTTATGGATGAGAGATATATGATCAACATGTTCCTATTCAATACATTGAAATTCTTCCATTAAAATGCAGACTTTCATTAGAAATACAGAGATTTTGATTCATTATTTTGATTTCTCGTATAGATATAGATAAGATAATGAAACACGAGATTATCTAGCTGGAGTGCGTGTAGGAAATACTATTGCACACTCACAAATTTCTTACAAAATTTTGATATTTTTGATAAATCGAAATTTTAATCAGTTTGATTGGAGATTAAATAATTTGGATCAAAAAGAGGACTAACTACCCAAAATTTTATAATATAACGATTATTTTGTAAACTTATTTTTGATTCGAATTTGCGGTTAAGTCTGGTCGGTCCTTTCCAATGTCAGCTGAACTTGCTTGCGTTTATGCCGCTCTCATCCTCAACGACGGCGAAAAGGAAATCAATGCTGATTCCCTTGCTAAGGTTGTCGCTGCTTCTGGCCTCAAACTCGACCAGTTCTGGGTTAACCTTTATGCCGATTATTTCAAGAAGGCTAACGTTGCCGATTTAATCAAGAACGTTTCCCTCGGTGGTGCCGCCGCTCCAGCTGCTGGCGCTGCTCCAGCTGCTGCCGCTGCTGAAGCTCCAAAGGAGGAAGTTAAGGAAGAAGAACCAGCTGCTCCACTTGACCTTGGTGACATGTTCGATTTCTAAATAAATCAGAACTAATATAAAATTTATCTACTTTATCCTTTTTTTTTGTTCAATCAAATACAAAAAAAAATTAATATAACAAAAAAACTTTATATCTAATTTACAGTAAGTTGCTTCAGTTCTTCATATCTCTGAAGAATATTACGTATTTCATCTTCTGTTGCAATCCTTGTATCGATAATATTTTCTGAATCAATTCTATTTAAGTATTCTATAAACGACTGAGATGATTGCTTAAGTGCGTTAATGCATTCCTTCATCGCTTCTTTCTCCATCTCAGAATTAGATATTTCTGGGGGCATCGGGAAAGCAGAATCTGATGAAAGGGCATTTATTAATCTCTGTCTAAGCTGGCGAAGCTTTTCTTGTAATTCGTTAATTTCATCCATTTGTTGTTGGACATTTGAAGAAACAGGAATTGTATCCGCTTCTTGAGCTATTGTTGACAGCTGATTTGAAATGTAATCTAATGTATTCGATAAAGTTGTTGCACCATCAGCAGTATTATGAAAATCATCATAATCCAAATTTCTTAAAGTTTCATTAGCCTTTTCTAAACATTCGATAACTAAGCTCATGCATTTAACTTGGTATCGTGCTTGTCCTAATGCTCGCGCCTTTTCGATAATTTGTTCGATATCAATATCTGATTTTCCTCTTGCGAGAAACATAATTAAATCTTCTTCATTAACATCTCCAACAGTGGCAGCAAATTGTCTAGCCAGCTGTTCCACTTGACGAGAACACATTTTGTCAAATGAAGGAGGTGTAATTTCGATAGGTTTTGCAGTTTCACGCATTTTACTAATTTCTTTAAGTAAATCAGCTAGCTTTTTCCTTTTATTTTCGCATTCTGTATGGATTTGTTTTGATTCGCGTTCAAGATCCTCAGATTGACTGTTTAATTCATGTGTTTCTTTGGTCAATTCGTCTTCAGTTTTATATAATGATTTTTCCATTTCTTGAAAAACAGACTGTAATCTTTTTGGACGTTCTTGTTTATAATAAATATAAGATTGAAGAAGTGCTGAGGCTTCAAGCTGATTATTAATTTCGACTGCTTTTGAAAGTTGCTTCTCTAAATTTGCTATTTCGTTCAGTAAGTTGGTTTCATGTGCCTCTAAACTACTAAGATCAATACTCATTTCTAAAAAAAAATTTTTTTTGTAAAAAAAAATATTATTTTTAGTTGCCATTCACAGCTCATTTGATGCAGCTGGTTTCTACTCCCCTTGCTATGGAGGGTTGCACTTGGAGGTATCGGGTTTATTGACTAGCTCCTGTAGTGCAGCTAGAATTCTCAGAAAATCTAATCTGATACTTAAAATCGGTTGATAATTGTATTCATTTAATTTCATTCCATTTATTATAGGATTCGAATCAAAATTGGAAATGAATGGCTCTGACCGACCACAATGAATACCAATTACAGTATGATATATTTACTTTATACCATGTTATAACCTAGATCATAATTGAACCTCACATCAACAAGATGAACCTAAAAGGACCAATTTATTGTGCATGGAAATCTTGTTGCTCTTTCCATTTTTATAGATAGAATTGTGTAACTAGTTTTATATGGTCATAACTCAGTCTTTATTCAGACAATTTAAAAAATTGTTCGCAATTTGGACGGAGCTTGCCTATGACCAAATTGCAAACAATTTCTTTAATCATTTGCAAATTCTAATTTTCATGAACTTTAAGGATGCACTTTCCACTTTTTGACATACTGTCAATTTTTTGACACCCAAACTTTATTTCCTAATTTTCTAAAGTCGGGAAAAAGTTATTGCAAATCTCTACTTAGTATCTCATATGGCTGTTAATCTTTTTTGTTATTAAAATTAAGATATGTTAATATTTTGAGAGCATGTCAGAAAGTGGAAAGTGCACCCTTAAAAAGTTCTGAAAATTTGAACACGGGCAAACGTTTTAATTGTTATTTTCAAATTGAGAAGAAACATACAAACAACTTTTTGACATTGTCAAGAGATCTCCACATACTTGAAGAACTAGAAGAGCTGCTAGGGACCAGACTTTATTTTATGTTATGAAACTATATCTGAATTCAATTTGATCAAACGTGATTACGTACTTTTGCTAATTTAGAATCATCGAATTTCTATAAGCTAAACCATGTTTCATAATTTTGATCCAAAATTTTTGTGATAATTGCTTTTCACATGCATAACACAGTACATATTTCGCCTAAAGAATTTTTGAAAACATATTAATAATTGAAAACCGCTTCACTCATTCAATTTTTAATCTATTTTGGTAAAATATTTTATTTGAAAAATGCAAATAGAAAACTTAAAAAATTTAATGTCTAATAATGTCACTATTCCAAATAAATACGTCAATATTGTATTTACAAAAATTCTATTGATGAATCAACTGCATTATATTAGCTAAAAACGGAAAATAAGGAAGAATTAAACTCCAATTTCAAAATGATCAAAGATATATCTTTCTCGAAATATCGCAAAAGCCATTTTGGATATTATTCCGTTTATTATAATCGCTATACAAAGTTATACTATGAAATTACTATCACCTAAAATATATAATAAATATTGCAAAACTTTATCCATTCCTTATTTCTAAAGAACATTGTGTTGATTCAGAAAGATCAGAAGATTTTGAAAAAATGACATAGATATTCATGCAGAAAATACAATTTATATAGTCGTTATGGATGATGACATAGAAAGATTCATCTTTTTAACGGAAAACAATGGATTTGATAAAGATCAAGTGCTCATATAATATCAACATATCTTTATTTTAATGGTAAAAGAGTAAAATAACCATGTTAGGAACTAAGCAGTGTTTTATAATAACTTTTTCTCGATTAATAATATTAGCTTTTTTCATAGAAAATTGTGAGATAAAGCAAGTGTGTCAAAAAATTTGAGAGATTGTCAGAAAGTGGTAAGTGCAGCCTTAAGGCAGCACTTACGCCCATCTGACTTTAATTCAAATTTCTGACAACTGCGTAAAGCGTCATTGAAAATTAACCTTAAACATCGGAATTGAAGGTCGTGCCATAGAAGCGTAATTGCACTTTTTTTAAAATATTTTGTCGACCTCATACTTAACTCATATAATTAATTGTATGAATTATACAACACATTTTATTTTAGATATAATAAAAAGTACGAAATAGCCGAAAAAAAATTGAGAATTACGAAAAAAATCGCTTTATTCTGGTTATTTTTTTATTTCTAATAATATTCATCTTTGAAAATACCATAAAAAGAATAACACCTTATGTAACAACACCACTCGCACCATATGAAATGAGAATTTCGGCTGTTTCTTTACTATTATAATATGCTGCAATATGAAGTGCGGTTTCTCCAAATTCATCTTTTTCATTGATATTCGCACCATGTGAAATCAGAACTTCGGCTGTTTCTTTGCTATTATTTTCTGCTGCAAAATGAAGTGCGGTTTTTCCATCTTCATTTTTTTCATTGATATTTGCACCATGTGAAATCAGAACTTCGGCTGTTTCTTTACTATTACTATATGCTGCATCATGAAGTGCTGTTTCTCCATTTTGATTCTTTTCGTTGACATTCGCACCATGTGAAATGAGAATTTCGGCTGTTTCTTTACTATTATAATATGCTGCAATATGAAGTGCGGTTTCTCCAAATTCATCTTTTTCATTGACATTCGCACCATGTGAAATGAGAATTTCGGCTGTTTCTTTACTATTATAATATGCTGCAATATGAAGTGCGGTTTCTCCAAATTCATCTTTTTCATTGATATTCGCACCATGTGAAATGAGAATTTCGGCTGTTTCTTTACTATTATTTTTTGCTGCAAAATGAAGTGCGGTTTTTCCAAATTCATCTTTTTCATTGATATTCGCACCATGTGAAATGAGAACTTCGGCTGTTTCTTTACTATTACTATATGCTGCATCATGAAGTGCTGTTTCTCCATTTTGATTCTTTTCGTTGACATTCGCACCAAGTGAAATCAGAAGTTCTGCAGTTTCTTTACTATTTTTATATGGTGAATAATGAAGTGCGGTTTTTCCATTTATATCTTTTTCATTGATATTCGCACCATGTGAAATCAGAACTTCGGCTGTTTCTTTACTATTATTTTCTGCTGCAAAATGAAGTGCGGTTTTTCCATCTTCATTTTTTTCATTGATATTTGCACCATGTGAAATCAGAACTTCGGCTGTTTCTTTCCTATTATAATATGCTGCAATATGAAGTGCTGTTTCTCCATTTTGATTCTTTTCGTTGACATTCGCACCATGTGAAATGAGAATTTCGGCTGTTTCTTTACTATTATAATATGCTGCAATATGAAGTGCGGTTTCTCCAAATTCATCTTTTTCATTGATATTCGCACCATGTGAAATGAGAATTTCGGCTGTTTCTTTACTATTATTTTTTGCTGCAAAATGAAGTGCGGTATTTTCATATTCATCTTTTTCATTGATGCTTACATCGTGTGAAAGGAAGTATTCGAAAAGAGATGGAATATTAAATATCGGTGAATAAACAAAACATTTGTTTATATCATTAGTTTGATCGAAATAAACTAAAAAATTTTCAAGATTATTGTAAATTCCACAGTATTTTAAATTGATCTTATATTTGTACTCATTCATCAAGAACGTAACAAAATCAATGTTGTGTGAAATAATTGCATATTCCATGGATTGGTAATTTGGTTTTTGATATTTCAAACATTCATTCATGATCTCTGCATTTCCTCCTAAAAATGAAAGCCTTAGGCATGTTTGAGTTATTTCGGAGTGGAATTTCGTTCTTAATAACTTGAAACAATCAACTGCTCCATGGTAACAGCATAATTCAAGTAATGAATATCCTTCGTAAGAATATGGGTATAAATCGCTATTAAGTTTTTGATCTTTATCAAATTCATCTCTTTCTGTGAATGTGATGAATCTTTCTAAGTCATTATTCATAATTGCTCTGTGAATTGTATTTTCTGATAGTATGTCAAGATTTTCTGATTTAATTTTTCCGAAATCAGAAGATTTGTCTAATTTAATTCCATATTCTTTGTAAAATAGGAAGTTTGAAATAGGGTAGATATCAATGACCTCTTTGATATGATATTCATCAGAAATGAGTTTGGCAAGAAATAAATATGACTTTGCATAGCGATTATTATACGGGATGATATTTAAAATGGCTTTTATCATATTTTTGGGAGGATATCCATTTGAATCAATCAATTCTGTTGTGATCATTTTGAAAATCGAGTTTAATTCTTCTTCTTTTTCCGTTTTAAGCTGATACAACGCATTAAATATATCGATATGGTATTTGTAAGCACTTCGCAATTTGCTGTATTCGTTTAGATGAAGGTCTTGGTCGGACATTAAGGGTGCACCCGTATGTACGTTTATTTGAGAGGAGGAGGATTACCCTCTCAATTTTGAGGGATTCGTTAGTTTATTTTCTCGATGAATATGCAATAAAATTTGATTTTTACCTTATCAATATACTTCATATAATATACACATGTTCATGTAAAAACTTTTTTCCAAAATCCTCAGGAATTAAGGGATTTTTGAATTTTAAGAATTTTTTCCGAATTTTTTCGAAAAAAAATATTTTCAGAACAGCCTTAACGGCTAAGATTGAGTAGGGTTGTTAGATTCCCGACGATAGGTGTCTTGGAAGATTTGCCTGGTGTCATCATAGTGTCTTTAAATCAAAAATTTTATTTTGGAGTTAGTTTTATTGATTTTTCAATAAAAAACATTTCTAAAACAAGAAAATAAAACGATAAAATATTTATATTTTATATAAGGATCTTATATATTTAAAATAAATATCATTTTATTTTTTTCATTGGTGTCTGTCAAACCATAATACACTATTCAAAAATTCAATGTGTCTTGCGGTTTCAAAAGACACCTTCAAATTGAACGATAGCACAGACACTATTGAATTTTACCCATTGTATTTAGTTTTTACCCTTTTTATTTTTAAGAATTAATGACTGAAACAGCCGTTTTGCTATGACCTCAATCACTTTTATTTATTATTTTAAATATTATTTAATTTTATTATTTGAATAGGCCAACTTATATTTGAGAAGCTCAATTTGAGACCACTTAATACATTGAAATATCATAAATATTGAAATATTAAAAAGTGTATTTCAAAATATTGAAATTATAAAAATTTATAATACTGAAATTGAGACAAATTAATAAATTCAATGTGTTTTTTTTGAAATAACTCTCAAATATTATTTTTTTGTTTATTTAATGATGAATAAATATGATTGCTTTAGTCAATCATAAAAACTGATTTAAGTTTAAAATAATGAAAGGATAATTTGATCGTTTTTTAAAATACAATTATTTTTGATGATTTGCAAGAATTTTTGAAAAGAATATAATATAGGTTCTATTTTTGTAAAATTTATCCAAATCATGTATTACATAAATTACGATTAAAACGATGAAAGAACCAAAAAGTGTGTTTTGTGTTTTGTTGTTGCGTGTTGGATGCGGGATCCTGTTATTTCCGAAATCGACAAAAAATTTGGAAATTTAATTTCCGAAATCGAAATCATATTAATGTTTTTAATATTCAAAAAAAAAAAAAAAAAAAAAAAAAAAAAAAAAAAAAGGTAGTGGGGCTTCCAGGCACTTCGTGCCTTCTAGCCCTGAGGATGTTTTGTCAAGACTTCTTCATCGTAAATGTTTTGTCAAGACTTCTTCGTAAAATCAGACAAAAATAATGTTTATGTTAGAATGTTAGATCTAACACGTTTTCTAACATGTTTTCTAACATCGTAGAAAACTCATGATTTCATCGTAAATGTTTTGTCAAGACTTCTTCGTAAATGTTTTGTCAAGACTTCTTCGTAAATGTTTTGTCAAGACTTCTTCATCGTAAATGTTTTGTCAAGACTTCTTCGTAAAATCAGACAAAAATAATGTTTATGTTAGAATGTTAGATCTAACACGTTTTCTAACATGTTTTCTAACATCGTAGAAAACTCATGATTTCATCGTAAATGTTTTGTCAAGACTTCTTCGTAAATGTTTTGTCAAGACTTCTTCATAAAGACTTTATTGTGACTTCTTCGTAAAGACTTTGTTAAGACTTCTTCATCGTAATGAGTGTAAATGACCCAAAAATAATGTTTATGTTAGAATGTTAGATCTAACACGTTTTCTAACATGTTTTCTAACATCGTAGAAAACTCATGAGTTTTGTATGTTTTAGACCATGTTAGAAAACATGTTAGAAAACATGTTAGATCTAACATTCTAACATAAACATTATTTTTATTGAATTCCGTATGAAATTTCATGAGTTTTGTGTGTTTTAGACCATGTTAGAAAACATGTTAGAAAACATGTTAGATCTAACATTCTAACATAAACATTATTTTTGGGTCATTTACACTCATTACGATGAAGAAGTCTTAACAAAGTCTTTACGAAGAAGTCACAATAAAGTCTTTATGAAGAAGTCTTGACAAAACATTTATGAAGAAATCTCAACAAAGTCTTTACGAAGAAGTCACAACAAAACATCTGTCAAAAACCGCTTTTTAACTTCACTTAAAATGCCACGTAAGCTACGTAAGAATATACGTAAGAGGAAGAGAGCATTGAAACATCCAATAGTAAAACTGACACCACAACAACAGTTGCAACAACAAATGCTGAATGACCCCACTATGTTGCAACAAATGTCAAGCAATCCTATGCTTTTAAACCGAGTTGTTGGTGCACAGAGTGGAGGTTTAAGAGCGGCACTTTTAGCGAAAATGGCAGGCTATGGTGGAGCTGCAGACGGAACAGCCTATAACCCTCAAAGTCAAATGAATTTGAGTTCACTCAAAAATCAAATAACAGATGTCAAAAAGTCAAACATAGACATACAGAAGCAAATAAGTGAAAACGAAAAGAAACTAGAATATGACAGACACACAAAGAAACTCAATGAGTTAAACGTAGAGAAAAAGAAGAAAGAAGAACAACTGAAAGAACTAAGTACAGAGGAATATGCGAAAAAAGTGTCAGAAAAAGCAGCAGAAGTAGCAAAAATGGAACAAGATGTTATAAATTTGAAAAACCATACTACTCAATATAAAATACTGAAAGATGAAGAGATAAAACAAAAAGCCCTGAAGACATATATGGATAGCGATGAGTATAAAAAAGAAGTTGAAGCAAATGTAAAGGCAGAAAAACTTTTACAGTTGCAAAACCAAACCGTACAGTATGAAAACTTAGCACAAGAAAGTAAAAATAACGACGCGGCTATGCAAAAGGCAATGAAAAGCGCAGAATATATAAAAGCCAACAATGACTGGTTAGATGCCCAAGCCAACGCTAAAGCAGCCCAACTCATAGGGTCAATAAGGACAAAAATACAAGCGGATGAAGATAGTTCAAATGAAGCTTTAACAAATGCTGACTTTAAGAACGCCTTCGAAGCTCTTCATAGTAAGGTGAAACTAGTGAACGACTTCTCATCTGGAAAGAAACTGAAGTCTGAAGGTTTCGACAAAGAGTTAAGAGAAGTAGCACAAAATATGACGAAAATAACAGATGCAGCAACGAGACAGGCAGTTCAAAGTGCCTATGACGCCGTTAGAGCAACTGTTGTGAAAAGTCAAGAAAAAGAGTTACAACAGACCAAAACAGACCTAGTAAATGCTTTCTTAAGAACGAAAAGTCAGGTAGGACATTACGCTGCAGATGGAACATATGTGCCAGCTGGTGGAACTTATATACCACCAAACCCTCCAAGAGAAGCACCTGCACCAGGACTACCTAGAACATTTACATCGTCACATGGACACAGACACAGGCATGCACCAAAACCAACACAACAACCAACAGTTCAAAATCCAACACAACAACCACCTCCACAAACAGCACCAAACCCAACACAACAACCAACAGTTCAAAACCCTGCACAACAACAACCACAAACAGAGCAAGGACATAAAAGAAGTAGAGAACAAGGAAACCAAGAATTCTTAAAAATGCTTAAAGAAGAGTGTGGTTTCCCAGATACTGTTGACTTTAGTGACAGATATAAAGAAGCTATTGGAAAGTTCAAGGATGGAAATACTGACCCGAACCTATTTAGCTTTATGGCTCAGCACCAAAACGGATATAATCTCAAACCTGGAAAATACAAGCTCGCTAAGGGATATGATTTAATAGCATATCATCCAAATGACATGAACGAATTTACTCCGAGATATTTGATGTCAGAGCTAAATGACAATTCAACTTTCGTCATGAAACGCGTAAAAAATAGAGACGGAACGAAAGAACAAAAGCTTATGAATGCGGATGACGTAGATAGGGAAATTGTTAAAAACGGTCTCGGAATATATGAAATGCCAGCAGATGAGGTACAAGAAACTCCACAGGAAGAAATAGTTCAGATACAACCAGACATGGAAGAAATAGTTCAGCAACAACAGCTAGAAGAGCCTGAAGGAAACGAACAAGTCCCTCCTTTGGAAACTAACTTCACAGAACCAGATGAAGATTTGGAACAGCCGAAAAATCTTGACCCTCAACAAGAGCATGAGGTGAATATGGAATCTTTCCAAGAGTCTAAAAAAAAATTCGGCTGACATAGTAGAAGAATATCGAAAAATGTTTGCCGACATACAAAAGACTCCAGCACCAGATGAAAATATTCAGCATAGAATGGAAGCACTGAAAGAAAATGTACACAAATACAACAACCCTTTTTACTTACGAGCATTTAACGTTCAATCTTCGGATGAACTCGGTGAAAATAAAAGGTTAAATTTCAAGAAAACATATAGAAATGAAACATTGTTTAAAGTTCATTCAGAACCTAACCAAGATGGAAACAAACCTACTTTTGTTTCTGCAGACGATGGAACTACAATGAGATGGGGTCATAAAGCTAATCCGGATAGGTGGTTCATAAACTTACAACCACAATTCCAAGAAGTTGTAGACGCAATGGAAGTCAATGGTGAACCAGATATAGCTGGTATTTTAAGCGCGGCTTTAATGCCATTGAAAGATATGAAACATGCAGATATTTTGGACCAGTATGAAAATGAACATGGCTGATGGAAATATAACACCTGACGTTCTAGAACATTTATCTCAAAGAACTACACAGAACCATAGAGATGTATATTTTGGTGAAGAGTTTAGAAAGAAAGTTAGGGAGAGCGAAGGAAGAGAACCTATTGTACATGACCTTGCAAACGAAAGTTTACAAAATGTCATAAAAACTTACTTTGCAGACAATGAACCGAGAAGGGATGAATATTTAAGAAAACTCAATTGGACAGTACCAAATGAAATGTTAGTATTGAAAAACATGTTCCTTGACAAAATAAAACCAACTACAGAAATAAACGACGCAAGACTGAAAGATTGGGTAAAAGCTTTCCCATTCACAAAAGATATAGTTTGGTAACATGGAAAGAAAAACCAGAATGGCTACAAAAACATATATTTGGAAACGAGCATATTCCATATGGACAGGCACTGTTTGAAGAGCTTGAACCAGAAACTCAGGAAAGAGTCATGCAAACAATACGCAAAGACTCAAATACAGACTATGACAAACTCTTTCTAGGATATAGGTTACCTGAGATGGGCGACCAGAGCCAAAAGGCAAAAAGGACATGGAAATTTGCAACATACTAGATGAACATAATGCAAAGATGCAACAACTTCAAGCAGAGGGCAATGAAGGAAAAAAGAAGAGTTAAAAAACTCAGTCAGGAAGAAAGTAAAGCTTGGTCGGAGTGGGTTCTATTATGACATATAAATCCAACTATTCTATATTTTTACTCATATGAAATGTACGCCGCTCAGAATATAAACGCCAACAGTTTTGGATGCTATGAATGGAAATGTTTCCGAATGGTATAACGAATGCGACAATGCCATTAGAAGGTCAGAAATAGTTCCTGGAACTTACGAATATACAACTGCTGTTTCTTATGGAAACGTAGGTGAGTTTGGAGAAGGTTCTTCAACAACAGTAGATATTGCATGCGACAGGTTTCATATTATTTCTATTGACAAACTCATTCTATACGTGGAAACAAGACATTGAAATAAAACCTTCTGCCAAGTTGTCTGACAAGAAAGGTTGCAATGGAATTTTCTATGTCGGATACCAATATGCTCCAGAAGTTTTTATGGGATATAAGATATATTCTAACTCTGACTTAGTTCAAACAGTAACATGGGCAAACTATGAATGGTTCGCTTTGAGAAACTCAGTACAACCACAAGCTAGAGAACAAACAGACCAGTATGCAACTATTGAGAAAATAAGAAGACTTGACCCTAACGTTCCAGGAGTTTATGTTAACCTTTCTGGTTCAGATGGAAATGCTGCCACTAAAGTAAAACTGAAACTTAGAGTTCCTTTGTCATCTTTCCTCATCTTCAGGTTTTTAAGATACTTGCCAAACTGGGCAGGAAAAAATTTCTATCGAACTCACCCCAAGCAAAAATAACTTAGTCATTGCAACACAACACAAGACCCATTCACTCTTACAGACGTAAAGGGAACAAATAAAACGTCATTCGCCGAATTTTGCAAAGACAAAGTTGACTTAGACTTTGGTTTCTCAAACCTCAACACTGAAGTAAACTATTATTTCAATGCTGCTGGAGATGCTTGGACCAGCCCAGTTAAGTTTACATGCGAAAAGTTTGAATGCAAGAGAATAGAAAGCAGACTTGCAGTCTATATGTTGGACCCAGATATTTCAAATGCTTTAGCTGCCAAATATATTGCAGTTCCACTTATGTTCCCTATACACCAAATATCTGTCAAAGACTTTGCAGGTGAAGTTGGAAACCAAAGTGCTAACCCAGGTGCAAGAACAGATATTGCCTTAACAACTGCAATAAACATGCAGATACTATGTTTGTACTGTTCAGACGAACTATAAATGACTATTCTTGCTTCTACAACCCTGGTATTAAATACCATATAAACATAGATGGCAAATATTATCCAAGAGAAGAATATTCTACAGTTGAGGATATGAGGTCATACAACTTGACATTAGATGCTATGAACTTTAACAACAAACTTCACAACAACCATTAACCCTGAAATGCAAAGTTCTATTATGCCATATGTGAAAGTATGGACTCATACAGGAGGTCAAAAAACTCAATATACAAATGGAGACCGTTCAAACTTTTGGCTTGGCATTCCATTTGCTGACTCAGAAGACTTTATGGGTGGTATTTCAACTGTTGGTACTGTACAAATACAATATACTGGTGACAGAGACGGTCCAGATGAACTGAGAGCAAAGAAGTTTACAAAACCAATAGCACTTTTCACGGAAGATGCTCTTTTGAAGATTCGTTCGATGAAACCTGCTGGGGCTCCTCAGATTGGCATAACGACAGCTTCCATCGAGCAGATTTTGGCAGCAGGTCAGTAAGTTGTTCTTGAACTGACTTCTCTCCGTCAAATATTGACAGTACGCCAGTTTTGACATAAAATTGTTTATAAAACTTTCCTTTAGAAATATCTGTAAGTTTTGTTGTTATATTTTTGTCTGCTTCAAGAACTTTCACCATCTCGGTTATACCAACTTTCTTTGCTTTATGAAAATATTTTGGTTCAGCAAAGACTGCTATTCTATAACATTTTCCATTGTTTGTGTAAAGAACTATTCTGTCAATGTATTTGTATTGTTTGTGTGTGTAAACTTTGTTTTGCTTCAATTCGAAGAGATACTCGAATACGTCCATCTTTTATTCTAAGTAAAATGTCATTTCCGAAAAATAGAAGCGTGAGTGTTTCAAAAGGTTTAATGGCGGTGGCAGATGTGAAGTTAAATTCACCAACTCAAACAAACAGTCAAAGTGTTGTTGTCAATGTCAAAGAAAGAGATGTTGAAGTGGGGAAACCATACGAGGACGAAGATGGTATAACAATTGTTTCCTGTAAAAGAACAACCAACATACCCTGAAGTTAGCAGAGAGTTAAGTTCTGTTGCAGATATTCGAAACGACTACCAACAACTTAAAGACAAACTTAAAACTCAGGAGAAGATTTGTCAAGCTTTAGGTATAATTGTTAAACTTGGTCGAACACAACCCTGTAAAAGTAACTCATATGTCATCGCACCTCGTGAAGTTTTGAAAGAACTATTGAAACTTTTGACAGAGGCAGACGATATAAACATCAAAGAAATAGAACCCGACATTGCTTGCTGTGGTGTTTTCATATAATGTCATTGACAAGATATACGTTATGAAAGGAGGTGAAACGTTGAACTTAAAATATAGTTTCCCAGACGTCATAAAAATATTTGACGACCACAACATTTCATTAAAATTTATTTGCTAAGTAAATGGCAGAAGATATAATGGTTTATACTATTACGACTAAAAACCCTGAGTCATATAATTCTATAACAACAAACTTACAAAGTCCTCAAGGACGATATTGTAAACTAACCTTAAACACAATGACGACTAAAGCCTGTTTTGCTCTTTTGACACCAGAAGACTTTGTTGTTGTGAATGGTAAAAAATACTTCTTTGAAGATACTTACTCAGATATACCACCAACAGGTTTGTTGACTTATTTAATACTTTAAGGACGGATGTAACATGTGCTGCAACTAGAGCAGGTTTCATTATGTTTGGATGTCCGACTGAGTTTACTATAACGATATGAGCTATAATACAAAACTTATTTTCTGGTTTTTACTACCAACAGTTTCCTATAAACAGGAAAAGGTGTCATACAAGGAATGTCTGTTCCATTGACTTTAAGTACACCTATTTTATATATTGTTTCAAACTTAGGTTCAAAGTGCTATTCGAATGTTGACAGAAACTACTATGACCAAAAGATACTCATGCGGTATAAACAACACTTTCTCTGCTGGTTTGCCTATTGTTCATTCGAATGCAGAGTTTTCAGCTTTAGTAAACTCAAACACTTTAGCAAACATAAACTTAACCTTAGTTGACGCAAACTTTGTTCCTGTAAAACTTTTATGTCCTATGTATTTGTCAATGACGGCAGAAAGTTTCGAATTGGAAGATGCAACTGGTGAAAGTATTGTATTACAAGAACAACTTCAACCAACAAATAGCTCAAGAACAACAAATGCAACAAATGGAACAAATGCAACAACAAAGTCAAGAATAAAAAAAATATTTTTTTTATTTTTATAAAAATGTACAGAATAGACGTTTCAGATTTTTATGACTTCCAAGCGTTCAGAAATATGTGTCCATTTAGAGACTATAACAAAGCAGTCGAGAATTTGAAACGTTTAGTCATTTATGTCGACTCTGCCCAGAATGTTATGTTATGAAAGAATGGGATGTTGTCTTTAACAAACCAAGAGCAACAATAGTTTCAGAACAAGAATGTAGACAGAAACTTAAGAAAATAAAAGTCGTACAGGTTGGCATGAAGATGTTAGATGCTTGGGATATTTTATTGTCAAAGTTAGAAGATTTTTCAGTTCGTGGTATAAAGTTTTATACACCATCTCCAAACTTCTATTCTATCTTCACTGGATATAAATACGAACAAGTAGAATGGAAAGAAAATATTATAGAAGCTTGGTTAGACTATGTCAAAGAAATTATATGCAATGGAAACGAAAGAGTCTATGAGTATATCTTATGTTGGTTTGCAAACATCTTACAATATCCAAGTGCTAAAAATGAAACTGCTCTCATTATAATTGGAAAGCAAGGAACTGGTAAGAACACTTTCTTTACAGATATCTTATGCAAACTGTTAGAGGGCTATTCGAACCCTAATATGACAAACTTAGAAAACATCTGCGGTAAATTTAACTCTTCAATAGAGAATATGAAACTTATAGTATGTAACGAACTTCAAAGTATAGATACAACAAAGGTTTTAAACTCAGATGCTTTGAAGAGTCTTATAACAGACAAAGTTGGAGTTGTTGAAAGAAAATATAAAGACCAAAGAGTTTGTGAAAATGTTGCAAATTTCATCATGGTTTCAAACAACGCCGTTCCGATGAAGTTAGAAAGTTCTGACAGAAGATATGTAGTTGTCAGAACGTCAGAAGCTCATATGCAAGATACAGAATATTTTGACGACTTAGCAGAAACTTTGACATCTGACTTTTACAACCACTTGTTCTCATATTTCATGACATTAGATATTTCTAAGTTCAATCCAAGACAAATTCCATATACCGAAGAGAGACAAACATTGTTAGAAGCAAACAAGAGTGTATATGAACTGTTTATAGATGAAACTGACTTTGTGTCATTAGATGAAAGGTCATTGTACGATGAATATAAACAATATTGTCAAGAATATGGTTATATGACAGCGTCTAAACGAACATTCTTGGCAAATGTCAAAAATCTTTTAGACGTTCAGAACGGCGTATATACAAAGAAAAATTTTTATGAGTAAATTTTAAAAAAAATATTTTTTTTATCCGATAGAAAAGATGGCAAAATTCATCTCAGTAAACAAGTACATGTCAGAAGTCAAAGATAACGAAAATGGATATGCGCTATTCTGGTTAGATTGTCCTTATGAAATGTATGAAAAAAAGGCTTTATATGAAGAATATAGAAAATATTGTCATGAAAACGATAAAAGACCAAGCTCTAGAGAAAAATTCTATGCTGGTATAAAACATCTTTTCGAAGTTCGGAATGGCAAATATAGAAAGAAATAATTTTTCTGAGTAAATTTTAAAAAAATATTTTTTTATCCGATAGAAAAGATGACGAAATATATTTCAGTAAATAAGTACATGACAGAAGTCAAAGAAGAACTAGACCCATTCGCTTATTTGAATGTTTACTTCTACCATTTTGAAAAGTCTACATTTGACAAAGTTTGGAACATCGAACCAGTTAAGTTTGCTATTGTGACTAAAAATGGTGCGAAATTTGAAGACTTAGACATAGAAGGTTTGTTAGCAGTCAAAGAAAATTTTGACAGAAGGTTCTCAAACCTTAAAGAAGGCAAAGCATACAAACTTGTTATACCTTATGAACCAAAGAAAGCAGACGACTATGAATATTATGAGTCTAAGATAGTTGAAGTTCAAGGTAAATTGGGTAAAAAGATTTTAGAGTCTAAGCCAGTGTTTGCCCCTAAAGAGGAAGAGAACATTGACATTGACCCAGAAATGTTCTAAAAATAAAATTTTATTTTTACATGTCAAATTTCTTTTTCTCTGGAACTGGCTCTGGTTCTTTCTTCTCTTCTTCTACTTTCTTTTCTTTCTTTTCTCTCTTCTTCTTCTTCTCTGGTGGAGTTATGTCAAACTTCTCAGAACCATATTTATGTAAAAGTTCTTTGTCCTTTAATAGCTCATCTATTCTGTTTTCTATTTCATCTTCAAGAACAGCGCATGTGCCTTCTTTGCATTCTAAGAACTTTTGTTGGACTTCATCTTTCCAATCGGCGTCATCTCTGTCAACAAGTCTGTCATTGACAAACTTAAAGACTTCTCTGCCTAATGTTTTATGGTTCTTGTCATATTCCCAGAAACAGAACTTTAGAACAAATTCACCTTTCTTGTTTACACTATGTAAGATTTTATGGTCGACAGATGTTTTGCTGTCAAAAAGTTTGTCTCGAATATAGATAGCGAAATCGCTAGACATTTTCAAAAAGATAAAAATTTTAATTTTTCTAAAAATATGTTAGAAAAAAAGTTTGCTGACATTGACAAGAAATTTGAGAATGTTTTAAACAAGAACAAGAGGAAGTTAGAAAATGCTCAGATAAAACCCATACATGACAAGTTCCTATTTGCTCAGAATGGTATAACAGGTCTAATCGCACCACCTGGGTCGGGTAAGACTTTCACTTATCTTAAAATGGCTGCACAACAACAAGAACTAGATGAGAAGAACCCATTTTATGAGTTGGTTGTTATTTGTTCGACATCTGGTCAATTCGATCAAACCGTCAATTCGTTCAAAGATATTATAAAAAAGTCTAAGTTAGTATGTATAAAAGACTCTGAGTTGTTAGATTGGATAAAGAAGTACCAAAGAAGAGTTTTGAAGTACAATGCTATAAATGAGTATATAAATTCTAAGTTTAAAGACCCAAATGAGGAAATGCAGAGAATATTAGAGAAGAAACACTTCAGAAACAAACAGAAAGAGATAGAATACATTTCGAAGAAATTGCAATCGTACGATTGGAAGACTTACCCTCATAGATGTCTTCTTATCTTAGATGACTTTGCTTCTCATCCTTTGTTAAAGAACAGAGAACAAGATATGTGTCGAATTCTTAAGAAGCTCAGACACTTTAACATCTCAGTTGTCATTTGTGTACAGACAGCAAAGAGTTTAAGTAAGGATGTTAAAAGAATACTTACTGATATCATACTTTTCCCCGGATTGTCCGAAGACGATTTCATGGAACTTATGAAAGAGTCCATGGCAGGTAAGTTTGACAGACATGAACTATGGGAGAAGTACAAAGTCATACAAGACCCTCATACTTCTTTCAGAATTCACATCTACGCGAACAAAGTTCAAATTGTAAAAAGTCAATAAAAATAAAGAGTTTTGGCGACCAGGGTTTTTTCACTACTCGCTGTTCTTCACGATTTTCATGAGTTTTGGCGACTGCGTTTTTTTCATTACTCGCTGTTCTTCTCTCGGTTTTCCGAGGGAAGCAAGCATATGAGGAAACTCATGAAATTTCATACGGAATTCAATAAAAATAATGTTTATGTTAGAATGTTAGATCTAACATGTTTTCTAACATGTTTTCTAACATGGTCTAAAACATACAAAATTCATGAAATTTCATACGGAATTCAATAAAAATAATGTTTATGTTAGAATGTTAGATCTAACATGTTTTCTAACATGTTTTCTAACATAACTATTTACAAGCGTTTTACATGGTATATGTTGCGATGGTTCATGACTCTAAACAGTTTCGTAGCTTCAATTTCTTCTTTTAGTACATCGAATGTTTTAACGATACCGAAAGTTTCTTTATACTTCTTCTTGACGTCAGATAGAAGGAAATCTTCTGCTGTTGGATAGTTTTTGTTCAGAAATGCTAACATGTCCATTTTATCTTCTGCTGGTTTTTCTGCTTCTTTCTTTAAATCTGCATAGTCGTTTCGCATACGTTCTATCTCTTTGACGGAGTAGTTATATTTCCTCATTGCTGCTTTACATTTAGAACATTGTGGGTTCATTTTTGCGTTATATTCTGAAACCTTACCTGCTAAAACAACTAAGGCGTCAATGGTTTTCTTCATCTCGAACATAGCGGGTTTTATTTGTTCGTTCCATACCTTACCCCTACTATCTTTATCTCTTATTTCCCAAACACATTTTGCAACTAACGAAACAAAGTTGTCGTAGGTCTTAAATTCTTCGGATTTGTAAAGGTCAGAGATGTTCTTATATACCATGTCGCAATCTTTGTCCATAACCTTATGGTTGCAATGAAATCCTAGAAACTCATAGTTTACCTTTCGTATGAACTTCTTTATTTCTACTGAGTCAGTTGCTTTGACTTCTATTTCGTCAAATTCGGGAATGGTTAGTTTTTGTTGTTGGATTTCAGGCAATTTGGGTAAATGGTCAATAATGTCCTGCATTTCATAAAGATACTGTTCATTTGTTTCATCTTTCGCACTACAGTCTAAATTACTTGTTAAAAGTTCTTGCTTTATCTTCTGGATTTTTGTTTCGAAAGTATATGAAGAAGGAATGAAGCTTTTCATCTCTACTAACATTGAAGTTGGGTTCATGACTAACGAGTTTGGTGCTGTTGTTGCTAACATGTTCTTACAATAAAAATAAAAAATATTTTTTTAAAAAAACCAACTTTATTTTTTATTTCGGGAAAATTCATGATTTTCAAGAGTTTTAGACCATGTTAGAAAACGTGTTAGAAAACATGTTAGATGTAACATTCTAACATAAACATTATTTTTGCTGAAAAAGTGTTATTTTTTCATGTCCGAAGACTCGAAGGTGCAACACTTCCAAAATACCGACGAACTCAGAAGAGCAGCATGGCAGTATGTTCTTGACAACTTCTTTGAGTTCTCCAGGAACACCTTGGAAAATGCTGAAGAACTCCGACACAGAGAATTTGGAGAAATTGCACTCCAATACTACCTTGACAAACAAAGGGTAAACAAAGGGTAAACAAAGGGTAAAATAAGACTAAAAACTTAACGTTTAAAAAGTGACATTTTTATGAGCTCCGAGTCACCGAGAAAACTTGGTCAGATGTTAGCAGCTTACTTCCCTGAGGAGGATGGAAGCGTTACATACGTAAGGTTCAAAAACAACGAACCTGGAATTGCGTACCAAATTCGCAATTACATGACCATGGAAGAGTACGAAAGGTTCCTACAAGAGAAACCAGCTCTAAACAACTCAGAAAAGAAAGAGTAAAAAGTTTAACTCGTAATTGTTTATTTTTTTTACTTGTATGGGCAAGCTGCAAGAATGAAGTCGACTATCTCAGTCTTTGTCTTGACCAGTTGGACTGCTCTTGCGAGTACGTCTGTTTTGCGGTCTCCAGCTGGTGTCTGACCTTCGTAATTGCGCATGTTCTTGAGAGCTCCAACTGTAAATGGCTGTAGGATGAAGAGTCTCTCAGACTGCTTGAGGTAGTCTTCACGGTCACGAACCGAATCTGTGGTACGAGTCGAATCGGTCGACTTTAGGGAAGAGACTGAAAGCCTGTCGTCTTCCATAGGGGCTGTGGCATAATCTTTGCGTAAGCGGTTCAGACCTTCTTCGAACTCTTGGTCTCTCTTCGATTGAGATTGGAATTGGAATTGCTGGGGTGGAGCTTGCTGGAACATCCAAGGGTTGGGGAAGTAAGGCATAGGCTGAGGAGGGTAGTTCGGGAAGCCTTGTAGTGGAAATTGGTAGTAACCTTGAGGTGGAAATTGGTAGTAATTTGGTGGAGGGACTTGCTGGAACTGAGGTGCAGGGGCTGGTGCTTTAGGTTCCTCTGGTTTGGGAATGGGCTCGGTTGGTGGGACGTCGGACATTCGTTTGTGGCTTAACCGTCGGACCACAACGATAAAAATCTCTGCTCCTAGCAGTACTGCTACTGACAGTAGCAGTACTTTTTCTGACAGTAGCAGTACTTTTTCTGACAGTAGCAGTACTTTTACTGACAGTAGCAGTACTTTATCGTCGAAAACCCTCTCAAATTTTCCTTTTTACTGCTCCTAGCAGTACTTTTACTGCTCCTAGCAGTACTGCTACTGACAGTAGCAGTACTTTTTCTGACAGTAGCAGTACTTTTACTGACAGTAGCAGTACTTTTACTGACAGTAGCAGTACTTTTTCTGACAGTAGCAATGGTCGAGGTCGAACCGACCGACGAGGCAATTTACCTAATTGAAATTAACGAGCTTGTTAAAGACTTCCTCAGGCAGAATGTAAAAGGCAAGCTTGTTAACTGTTGGATAACGGGAAGGGCTGCCTTGAATCTCGAGACTTCGACTGGAATTCCAATTCAAATACCAGACGGGACAGCCTACGACGACATAAAGCAAGCAAAGAAAGAAGCTCTTCTCAAGTTCTTTGCCAAGCGTCCTTGGATACAACTTCCAACCAGAGAGAACCCTTTCCCAAGAATGAGCCAAATTCTCAAGGGTCTCCTTCACTTCTCGGGTCAGCCGTTCTACATAACCTGTGAAGGCGACATCCAACCAGTTCAGTAAACCTTAACGTTTAGAGTAAAAACATTTTTTTCATTTTTTGAATGAAGCAAGTTAAATTCGTCCCACACCAATCTCAATGGACCGATGAAGAGTTTCAAGCCATGGTTGAAGGCGTTGAGAACGACATAGACGGCGAACTTGAAGGAGCTCAAACCACAATTGCAACCAAAATTGCACAAGTCAAGGAACAGATAGCTCCACTTAAAGCTACCAAAGCTACTCTTGACCTCATGGATAGTTACCGTTTAGAAGTAAAGAGTGGAATAAGACAATTAAAATTGAAACTTCTAAACTACGAAGCTATACTCCAAAAGTTAGCAGAAATGAGAAGACTTTACCAGAGCTACTTACATGTAAGGGACTTACCTTCAAGCAGTCCGACCAAAGATGAATTTTCTGACATTGTCCCAATTTTGTCCGAAAGTCAGCTCAGATGTTTTGAACTGCTCCCAACATATCCAGAATATGAACGTTTGCCTGAACTCTTCCGCAATCTCAAAAAACGTTTTTTGGTTCTCATGTTCGAAACTTTTATCGGAAGAGACAACAAACGTTCAGAAGAAGAACAAGATATTATTTTAAACTTGTTGTATGACTTAACCGTCATAACAAGCTTTTTGAAGTAAAACCGTCATTCTCAAACCACTTCATTTTTTCGATGTCCGAACAAGCACCGAAGCCGAACACAATGGCAGATGTCCTTTCAATGTTGCCAGACAAGCGCCCAGTTCAAATTCAAATTTTGAATTTGAAAGCTCATCTGACAAACACCATTAAGACTCTCCAAAGTAGTCTTATGGAAGAGATGAAGGGACTTAAAGGTGAGTTCCTCATGAACCAAGCTTCCAATGAGAAAGTCCTGAACGATTTGACGGAAACCTTGCGCATTTACGCGAGAGAGAACCGAGACCTTGCCAGACTCATCTACCGTTTCTTCGAAGAGATAGATGCCATCTGGAAGGTACTCGGAAAGGACAGAACCTCCAACACCGTACTTCGTGAACACAGAATTGCCGAAGGAATTGTCGAGGAAGAAGAGAAACACGAAGAAGAGGAAGAGGAAGAAGAGGAAGAAGAGAAACACGAAGAAGAGGAAGTTTGGGCAACCCTTGTTGCCGATGACACTTACGAAATTTCCCAACCCTACCCATACCAAATCCGCAACAAGGAGACAGGCAAGGTTCTTACCCCAGTTCTCAACAACTTGGGACACTTGAACCTTACCCTTCGGAATTACGGTTCAATCTCCATGGGCAAGCTTGTCGCAATTCAATGGGTTCCAAATCCAAACAAGAGGACGAAGGTCAGACACATTGACGGTGACAAGCTCAACAACCGTAAGGAGAACCTCGAGTGGTTCTAAGAGTAAAAAAATTTTATTTTAGGGGGAAACCCCGAGTAAATTTAAGTTTTTAGTTGCGTAAGCGGCTTAAATTAAGGATAATTTGGACAAGTAGTTCCTGACCTCTGAATTGGACTCTTTCGTCATCCCAGTTGCGTAGGAGGTCGTCCCAGAGGAGTTGGTAGAATTGCCATTCCAAGGACGATTTGTCCTCCCAGGCATTGAGGATGTACTGCTCGTAGAGTCTCATGACCTCTGCCTTGCACCAGACACCCTCTCCCTTGGAACGTAAGGCTTCTTCGAAGTGCTCGAATGCGATTGGCTGCGGGACCATCTGAAATGACACTTTTTGTCCGTTTGGTCAATGTTTGTGTCTCGTGCCATAGTCGACGAAAATACAGACAAACAGGTTATATATGAGTTTGAGACCAAGAATGGTGTAACTCGACCTGTCCGATTCAAATTCGAATAAAAATTTTTTACTTCATGCAATGTTTAACTATTTCACCATCTTCTTTAACACCCCAGTACTTCCTTTTCGATATTACATGAACTTCGGTGAAAATTTTGTCCAATTTGAATTGACCCATCTTTTCACCGACTAAACCCATTTCAATGAGTTTGTTGTATCCTTCTTCGTTCGTCATGAGTGCGTCAATGTTCTCATAGTAAACCTTCACTTTGGATTTGACTTCGGAGAAGAATTTGTTGTAGTTGTCAAGGACTGCCTTTGCGAACTGAGGGTAAGACCAATGTTCGACAATAGGTTTTACTGTGGTTACTAAGCCACCTTGACCTTGAGTAAATTCGTACTTCAAAACAAAAGGAGAAAACCTTTCAACAAAGTTGTCGACCTTCTCATAATGTTTACTCTTCATCTTTTGAGGTTTCTTAATGGAATATCCCCATGTCGAATTCATAAGCAATTTGAGTGTCATTGCAAGTTTGGGGTTTGAAGCTTTCCTAATATCATACAGTTGTTGTATGACTTTTCCAACTGTATAGTTCCTTCCTGGGAACTCACCGTCTTCGTTTGGAATTCCAGTCGGGATATATTGGACGAACCTCATGTACGCAGCGTTAAGGTCGACATAGTATATCTTTTCATCTGAGTCGAACTTGTCGCAACCAATGGGTCCAGTTCGTGGAAATTCAAGTGAGTCTCTTATCTTCTGAGAAACTTCGCCTGCTATCTCATAAACATCGTCGAAGCAACCTGTTTCATATAAAACCTTCTGACCTAACTCAGATGCTCTCCAATACAATTTGACGTCAATTGGATGTCTCAATGGAAGTTTGTTTATAGCATCTTGAAGTTCTTGCAACCTCATTGGAAGTTCTTCTGGTTCAGGTTGGTATCCGAACAATCCAACTCCTTTTGGAACTGTGTACTTCTTTTGTGCTAGAACTTTGTCTGGAACAACTTTTGGTCTTGCTAACAATGAAAAGTTTGTTTCGTCTTTTGGTACAAAAGTTTCTGTCAGCTTGTCATCTGGAATTGGTTCCAACAAACCTTTCTCGAAAAGAATGTTTACAGCTCTGACAATGTTGCACTTGCCTTTTCCGAACAATGGGTTTGTAAGACTTTCGTTCAACATGAAGTGGTTGTGGACAATTGCAATCTTCAACCATGGTAAGTCTTTGTCAACAACATAGTCGTCATGTGAAGAACCTTTAGCTGTAGGTATGTTGACTCGGATATTGACATTTGCCAACGGTGCAATTTTTGCCAATTGACCTCTGAGAATGTACCTTGTCTTCACACATGACTCAAGATACTTCATTTTCTCATCTGTAACAAGACCAGAGTTCCTGAGACATGTAAGAATACAAGGTTCATTGACAATTGTTTCAATTGAATTGTAAATTCCATACCTTGTCAAGTCAATGTCAGACTTATTTATGAAGGGGAAGTATCCAGCATGTTGTCTGACTGCTTGAGGGTTAGGTTGGTACCATTCGAACTTCACGCTTACAATTCCTTCAATTGCATTCAAAATGTCTGAGTCGGAGTCAACCATTTGTTCTCTCTTTGTAGTCTTGAAAGCGTCAAGAAGCATTGCAGCTGTTGTGACATTGCCATGCGCATAGTATATATGACCGTCCAAATCTGTTATGGTCAATCTGAGATTGTATCCTTTCTTATTTCCATCTTGAATTGCAGCAAGTACTCCCATGAAGCCTTCTTTGTTCTTTCCTTCGTCAAAGTTTACTGTAAAGGTTCGACCAGATGTAATTTGACTTCTAACTTCACGGTACTTTTCATATGCATATCTTGTTCTTTCCATGGGAGCATGTGCGTCTTCACCTTTTCCTTTTTTCCGTCTCAAAGGATGCAATTGTTCGTCATGTTTCCAGTAGAATCTGGCAAAGCCGTCGTGTCCTTCAACTTGAGGTTCACTAACATCGAAAGGCATGTCCATAAGACGTTCTTCTTCTAACCTCTCTATCTGTTTGGATAATTTGCGCGTGCTGTTTCCAAGTCCATTTCATAGCGAAGACCAGACAGTTTGTCATGACTTTTATGGGTCTTCCCTTCCTATATTTAAACTTCTTTGAAACTCTCCAACCATATCTTTCTAACTCTGCTTTTATTCTAGCAGACTTTCTATCCATTCTATACGGGGGCATTTTTATAAAAATAAAAAATATTTTTTTCTTTACTTTACATAACCACCTGCTGCCATAAGTCTTTGACGCCAACCCATACCAGCTAATGAAGGTTGACTTGGTTTAGTTTGGAAACTAAACTTTGGTTTTGGTTTATCTTCAGTTTTTGGTTTCTCTTCTTCTATCGGTTTTTTCGTCACTTTTCGGTTCCTCTGACTTTACCTCACCTGCAGGAACAGTTGTGTCGTCAACATCTTCATAAATATCATATGCCATTTGTTTTTGTTTTCCTTTCAACTTTTTGTGTTTGTTGTAAAGTTTAGAATATTTCGACTCTAAGTCAATGAGATGTTCTATAATGAACTGTTGGTCAGTGAAGTAAACTTTTCCATCTGTTGTCTCGAAAGCTCCTTCAGACTTCAATATTTTATTTTGTGAGAGTCTGTTTCTTTTTTGAGATACTAGCCGTTCCATTTCTATGAAAAGTGACTTTGTAGTTAGGGTTTGTATTTCCAGACCTGGCACTTTCTATTATTGAATTTTTCTCTTCATCTGTAAGTTCTTTGACAGGTTTTGACAATGGTTCTGAACTTTTTGTTTGTGGTGTCAAATCTACCGTTTCAACTTCTTCGGTCATTTCATCTCAGTAAAAATTTTAGTTTGGTTTGTTTTTCAACTGGTTGTTTAGGTTTTTTAAGTCGGTCTAAAACTTCCTGAGGTATAGGAAGAACTTGACAAACACGTGGTTGTGTAACTGCTGGAAGCCGACAAATCCATCTTGAACCCATTTGTCTCAATGCTGTATTGTTCATTTCATCTCAGTAAAAAAATTTACATTCCCCAAGTTTGAGGCGGTTGAGGTTGGTTATTGTTTACCCACTGTTGTGCATGGTTATATCCTCTGTTAAAGAATCTTTCACCTTGGTCCATATAGTGTCCTGCTTGGTTATAGTAGTCATTTGCTTTGTTATAGTAGTTTCCTGCTTCTCTTCCTACATTGTCCATCCATCCTTGAACTTTTCCTCTTGTTTCAGGATTTGGAATAAGATTTGCTGCATCTCGTGCTACCTCCCAACCTTTCTGTACAGTTTGTATAATAGGTTGTGCTTTCTCTTTAAGTATACCTAATGTACTCAAAATCTTCCTTCCAATTCCAAATGCACCTCTGGCTAGTGTTCCCACTGCGGGCAAAAATCTGGATGCAACTCCTGCTAATGCGCCAAATAAACCCATTTCTTACAGGGTAAAAATGACGAATTCAAACAAGGACCCGTATGTTTCTAAGGCAACAAAGAAAGCACTCATGGTAAAAATCTTTAGTTCAACACCAAATGCTTGGTTTATGGATATCTTGGAAAACATTCCGAGAGTTAGAACAGATGGACCACCATACTGGCTAATATTTGTCGGTCAAAACACAAGATACTGTGAAGCCATACCATTACAGTCCAAAAATATTTTAGATGTGAAAACTGCTTTGACAATATTCGTTGACAAATACCATCCAACAAAACTGACATCTGACTGTGAACGTTCTTTCAAATCAGACGATATTAAAAACTATCTGCGTTCAAAAAATGTAAACCAATATTTCATTGTCGACCAAAACCATTCTGCTCTTGGTGTCATTGACGGTTGTATAAAAATCTTAAGAGACTTAAATCAACCACAAGGTGGTGAGTAGAAAATGTCATATGACGACAAATATAGACACTTCTCCATGGCAAAGATGAGACAAGTTTTAAATATTTACAATACCGTAAACAAAAAGGTTTGGGAAACCACTCCCCGAAGAAATGAAAAACAACCCCGACTTAGAGAAAGACTATATATTTAATAGTTTAGTCAAAAGAGACAAACAAGAAAGAATGCCAGGCTTCAAACTTAAGAAAGGTGACAAAGTAAAAATAGAAATACCTAAACGCGACCCATATGAAAATACTATTGACTATGACAACAATGGGAACTCGACAGGTACTCATTCGTGTTCGTAAAAATAGAAGAAAGTATACAAGAGAATATTATGAAGTTTTAGGCAAACATGGCAAAATGTACAGACTGCAAGCAGAAGATAAAACTACTATTGTCAGACCTCGTTTCAAACTTGTCAAAGTTCAAGGTGGTATACTTTCAAAGACAGTTCCTAACAAATATAAGACAACTCCTGACGAATATGCTAAAGAAGTTGAAAATGACGACTAAGCATTCTATACCATGCGTAAACTGTCATGTAAGGTGGCATGTAGTCTTTACTCTGTCCCGTTGTTTGCGTATACCCTGAAACGCGATGTGTATGGCTTCCTCCTACCTCAGTGTTACTCCAGTAACAATTTATAGCAAACTTAACGTCCTCTTTAACATCATATCCTTTACCTTTTGTCATTCCTGACCAATCCCAAAATCTATGACTATGCAAACCTGCTTCAGATGTACTTAAATTTATGTAGTGACTGTGCGCAGGTAAATTTGCACCTGAAATCGTTTTACTTCCACCTGTTTCCTTTGAAGAGTTTGCACAATACAAAAACCTGTCGACTATTTGAGTCCAAGTTCCAAAACCAAGTACTACTTCTGGTTGGTAGAGTTCATTGACGTGTAAATAGAACCTATAGGATATACTGTTTGAAGTATTTCTGTCTTTAACGTTTGAAGCTCTGTTTTGTCAGCTTTTTTATCTAACTCATCGTTAACATATGTTTTGTCAGCTTTCTTATCTAACTCATCGTTAACATATGTTTTGTCAGCTTTGTTGTCATATAAATCTTGAGCAGTGAATTTAACTTTGTTTTCATCCTCCATGACATAGACATTTCTACATCTAATGTATCTCATCGTTGTTATGTCTTCTTCCGATGTTAAACCTTGTGGAAAGTTAGGAGGTTTCCAATCTAATACATCCCCACCAGCTCCTTCAACCGTTCCTTCAATATTTTCTATACCAACAGTTGCGAAGAAATCGTGTTATGTCCAACGTCACTTTTCCTGTTTAAGGTTTCTTGTAAGTTTGTAATATTTGCAATGGTATGTGTATGGTTCTTATCCGCTTTAAGGTCTAAACATCCTGAAACCCACCCTGTATTGGCTTTACCTTCTAAAATCTTCGATGTCCGTTCATTATACCATTCAACCCTTTCTTTAATTTCATTGTCTTTTTCATCCACATATTCCTTATCTGCCTTCTTCACTAACGCACTAGCCATACAACCCCTATCTACCTTCTCCTCTAACTCACTGTTGACATATGTTTTGTCAGCTTTCTTTTCAAGGCTAACGTTTAAGTCTGTTATTTCAGATATAGAATGTGTATGTCCAACGTCACTTTTCCTGTTTAAGGTTTCTTGTAAGTTTGTAATATTTGCAATGGTATGTATATGAGTCTTTTTAGAATATTCGTTTTCAGCTCTTGTCACTTCACTTGACATTTTATTGTCAACATATGTTTTGTCCGCTAGTTCAGGATGAGTATGTTCTTTCGTTGCATATGTTGCATCTGCTCTGTCATGTTCTTCTTGAACTTTTTCAATGACATACTCTTTGTCAGCTTTGTTGTCAACATCTGCTTTCAAAAGAAGTTCATCTATAGGTTTCTCGTTTAAAGTTCCTTTTGTTGGATTTATACAAACAGTATGGTTCTTATTGTCTTGAAATAGAAACTCGTCTGTCATTGGGTTTATCGTCAGTTTTAAGTTTCCTTCTTTCAATGACTCAGATATCTTAGAATAGTTTGAAAAGTTTGTTGTGTTCTTATTTAGAGCTTGCAAAATGAGTTGTCGGTTGTGTTTTATTTCTCTCATAGACGCTGTTTCATTTGACATTTTTATTCTAGATAAAATATGCTTCCAATAGAAAAA